TTGCTGGCAACGAGGTAGTTTAATAATGACCTCTGTTTACATCAGCATATGTAAATAAACACATTTTTGCATTCCCAGGAAAAACGGGAGAGTTGGCAGGTATGATCCTGACCCATAAGGTATGCACTTACATAGTCATAGTCATAGACTAAGTAAGTGCATACCTTAAAGGCAGGGCCGGAGTGGGACTCATTTTCAGCCCTGGAGTTTCAAGCCAGACAGGTCCACTTCAGTTCACGACTGATTCCAATTCAGTTTTTAATGACACTATTGTGTCTTTTTCATGAAAACAGCTGCTCTAGAAATTCAAATGTTCAACAGCCCTAACAGTATTATATGTTTTAACAATAAAAATGGAAAAAAAAAATTATAATAATTTTTTCAAGTGAGATTCAAATCCGGGTCGGTGGCGTGGATACACAATGTGCTTACCACTAGTCTACAATAGCGCTATTACAGCAGGAATAAAAAATAAGTATTGATCTGTGACCCGTGAGTGATGGCTTACTCCTTTTCTCCCCTTTTTAGATATCTGATCAAGTTATGTCAGATTTATTAATGTAGTGAATCATCTGATTTTCATTGAGCAGGTGTATTATACATTAATATTAATTATTCGAATTCTTATATTCACTAAGGTGCCACTGTTTGGGGTCGAATCATGATAGTTACATCATCATTAACGTTAGTTAACCTGCAGGCTACATTTTGCTCACGGGGCTGCGAGAAAATAAAAAAAGAGCAGCGCTGCGGCAAAATAATGAATAAAAAGAGTGAAGCTATGGTCAAATAAATAAATAGATGAAAAAAGTGTGACTGCTGAGAGTGCAAGCAGCTAGGGACACCGGCCCTCGCGGTCAAAAAACAGACCGGCCCACCGGGAATTCTTCCGGTCCTCCTGATTAGCCAATCCGGGCCTGCTTAAAGGTCAGGATCATAACTGCCAACACTCCAGTTTTTCCTGGGAATGACCCGTATTTCACACCCATCTCCTGTTTAGTTTTTTCTCCTGGAAAATTCCCATAATTTCACCACCCAACCCCCCGCCCCAGCCCTCAACTTTGGTATAGTACCCGATTGCACCACCTGAAAACCAGTTCATGGCACAGTTATTAACGCCACATAGACCTCCCGGTTCTCAACTTTGTTACTCAAACCATTACCACGTAACCCATTCTTCAACCAGCCCCTCATCGATTGTAGCTGACCCTGATTGGTCAGCTTGTATTTTTATTTATTGTTTTGTATTTCATTATTTGAATGTGTATTGGTATATGTTTATGTTACTATTTTTTTTTTTTTGTTTCTGGTTGGCTTGAGTGGGAGGTCACATGATTCTCTTTGTTGATTTAACCTGCGGGAGTTTGTATGGTCACTCAGCATAGTGAGATCTCAATACAAGCACCTGTTAAATGCTCCTGCTTATTCTACAGCTGGTTATCAGGCCAACACGGTAAACTAAACATTGTTTTATATATTATTTGTTTATTTTGATGTCCTTTGTGTTTGTGTGAAACATTTGGTTTGTTTATTTGTTTATCTTTTAGTTTTCACGGTGTTCAGTAAAGGAAATGCATACGGATATCAGTATTTGGAAGCGTAGACTGTTTTAATAACCGGCGGGTAATTACATAGATGTTCTAGAAATTCGTAGACAAATGTTGGCAGGTATGGATACACCAAGTTAATGCCGAACAACTAGCACAAATGAAACCCAACTGTGTTGTTGACTAGCATTGGATTGCATCTGGAAAAAAGCTGTGTGTGAACGTACCAAACAAACTAAAGTCGAATAAAACAAAAGCTGCATTCTGCACCGAAGGGGGCAGTATCTGTTTTCTTGTTCTGTAAAGGGAAACCAAACTTACAACACACAAAGATAAAGCGAAATCAAAGCAGCGTTTAGCATCATTATCACTGTAATTGTCAATAATTAATTATTGAGATTAATTATTGAGAGACTGAATACAGAATGTAATACTAAATATATTATTCAGTCATTCATTATCTTTTCGGCTTAGTCTCTTTATTAATCTGGGGTTGCCACAGTGGAATGAACCACCAACTTATCCAGCATATGTTTTACGCGGTGTATTACCCTTCCTGCTGCAACCAATCACTGGGAAACATCCATCCACACTCATTTACACACATACACAACGGCAAATTAAGCTACTGAAGTTTTAAAAACGTCCATTTCCGCTAACATTAAAGCGCCGCTGAGCACGTTTATAAACGATTTACCATAGTGTTCACCAGTGCTCATCAGTTTACCACTCTTCACTGAGTGCAAACACAGATACATGGACACTGGAGTGTGAAGCAGTTGTGAAGATCAGTCAAGTCATCAAGCAGATCGCTCATCTGTGTTTGTACTCGGTAAACAGCGGAGGTTGAACTGATTACCTTCTCGGCCAATCACAGTCATTTCTGTTGAGCATGTGAACTCAATAGCAAATCAGCGCTGTTTTAAGAAAGCCATAAACAGTGCCCTAAATGAAAAGTGAAATTGAAATTGAAGGTTTTTCTTTTAATTCAGTATTGTGACAAGTCTAATATAGTTAAAGAATCAGTTCATTAACTCGAAATGGCATCTAAAACGTGTGTTTGGGAAATAAAATGTTAGCTAACTAGAGCCAATTCCCTTAACTTAGCCGAAAATGAAGTCTGATATCCCTTTTTTATTTCAACATTCATTCAGAACGGACCTTCGGTTCACTCGGAGGGCAGTGAAATTATAAATTTGTGTCACTTTCTCTTCGCTGATAAGATATACAGTTAGGTACACAACGTTCCTATGTAACTCCCAACGATACTTCCGAGTTTCTTTCCACCACAGCCTCGATTTCGCTTTTAAAAATGGCGGCTGTGTGAAATCAGTTTATATCCATATCAACCATTTAATGAAAGGAATTGCATTCATACTCCGGGTTCAGGCTTGACAGTACATACAATTTACCTATATTAAAAAAAAAAAAAGTGAAGAGAAAGTGTTTGTCAACAGTTTTGCAAGGAAATATTTTCCTCCCGCTCAGTTTTTTTTTCTTCCACCCATTTTTTCTTCACCACCATGTCCCCTACAGGTCTTCATGGAAATAGAAAAGTGTGATTTTGAATTGTAAGAATATCTTAAAGTTTTAAAAAAAACTTACTATCCTAAATTATGAACAACATATTTTTAAGCAACTATAATACAAACACAAACTATTGGAAGGCTTTAAACAAGACACATCTAGTTATATTTTAGAGTCATAAAAAAATGATTCACTATATGGTTTTGTTATGTCTATTGATGGTGTGCTGCATCAGATTAAATGATGAAATGTTAATGATTATAAGTGCCTCTTTCCAGAAGTGCCACATAAAATACAGACAAACCAAAAAGAAGAAATCAGCTGTGAATAGACTTAAAGAACTGGAGAGTGGGTGGAAAAAATAGTGAGAGCGTGATTACACAGTTGAATGAGACACAGAACGGAGGAGAAGAAAGGTACAGCCCACAGATGACACCAAAACTGGAGGCAGGAAGAGCAACCTTGGCAACACCACAATTCATAGACTGGGCGGATTTCTCAAGTCTTACAAGAAAAGTTCATCAGAAATGAAAATTCTGTCATTGTTTGCTCATCAAATCTGTTCGAATGAAATGCTGTGTAACGAAAGGAATACTTTTGCACATCGGTCATGAAATTTTACAAATACACATTTTTCCCTTACAGAAAAACCATGAGGTTCACATGTATTAAAACATTTTCATCTGCAAAAAAGGTGGTCACATGACCATTTTTTCCCCAAATAAAAATCTTTAAACGCCATGATTAATGTGCTTTAAATGTGATTTTAACACGTGACAGCACATGCAAAGCTCATGTGTATGTTCTGTAGGGATTTTTCATCATCTTTAATGTTCCATTAATGACCATATAAGTTTAATGTAGCAGACAGTTTTCATTTCAACATACTGTCATATAATAAAGTACACTATTCTTCAAAAGTTTGCTATCAGCATTTTTCTGCTCACGAAAACACAATAAAAATGTACAACTGTTAAATATTGCTACAATTTAAAATATCCTTAAAATATTAGTCAAAACGTACTTGTATATGAAGCAAAGCTAAAGAGAAGTATTAATAATAACAATAATAATATCAACAATAATGATAATAACATACATTGCTTACTAACCTCAGACAATTGAATTTTAGTGTACTTTGAATGGTTATCTTTATAAACAGCCCAAAGAACTCAATAAATAATCTATAAATGCCACAATCTATTATTTATGCCTCTCCTTTCTAAAAAATGAAGGTTCCAAAGGGGGATTTACAGCACAAACTTTTTCACTTAGGGTCATTTTAGAAGAATCTCATCAAACTGGGGCTACAATAAAAATATTGAATGGATGAAGGCTTTAAGCTTATTTTCTCCGCATTACTGTAGATCATTAATGGGATAGTTCACCCAAATTTGAAAATCTACTCCCTATTAACTCACCATCAAGTGGTTCCAAACATTTATAGCTTTCTTTCTTTTGCTAAACACAAAAGGAGATATTTTGAAGAAAGTTGAAAACCTGTTACCATTGACTTACAGGTCAAAACAAATACTATGCAAGTCAATGGTTACAGGTTTTCAGCTTTCTTCAAAATATCCTAGCTTCTGTTTAAAGATGCCCTAAAATCTGAGAACATTTCTGGGAAAATCTGGGTATTTTATAGAGTAACAAATGTGCTTATAAAACCATATCTGGAGATTTTTTTTTAACTTACCAAATCCATAAACCTACTATGTAAATGTCAGAGAACAATTTAACTTATTAAACCAATGCAGTATTTGACACCTTTAAAAGAAGAAAGAAAGTCAAACGAGTTGGGAACAAGTAAAAGGTGAATAAATGATTGCAGAATTTTCATTTTTGGATGAACTACGCCTATTAGGTCATTTTTCCTCAATCACAGAGCCTTACGTACACAGTATAAGTTAATGTAACCATCCTAACCTGATTCTCCTCATGGGTCACCCGCATCTGTTCTTTGAGGATAGAAGTGCGCGCCGCCTCCTCTTTCCTCATTATGCGCTCTTTCTTCAGCTCGGGGCTCCAGAAGCTCTTGATGCTGTTGGTGGAGGATCCCAGCTTACTGTCCTTCAGGTCCAGCTCCCTCCGAAGCAGCTCATTTTCCCTCTGCATGTCCCGTAGCTGCGCTTGGAGTTCCAGAAGTTCCCCACCGCCGCCCCGGACCACCTGACGCAGCAGGGCTGATGGTGTCCCTTGGTGGTGGAGCAGAGACAGAGAGCCCAGGTCTCCATAAGACTGAAGGTCTGCATGCGGGATTCCCACCGTGGCGATATTAGGGGTGCTTCCCATCGCTGTGACCCGACCGCCATACATGGCACGACTCGTGGCCCGACCGAGTGTCATGGTGCCTTTAGGGTAGGTCGCCGTGGACCCAACGCCTTCATGGTCGCTTAGGTACATTGGGCCAGATGTGGCGTAGGCAGCATTGAGAGACTGGATGTTTTCCATGGATAAGGTTTTTCCACCCGAACTGCTGCTGTTGGCTCGACGGTGGCCCAATCGAGGAGAACGGGGCAGCCGCGGGGAACGAGCGGGACTGCCCTCGATGTGGCCGACGGCACGTGCGCTGCCATACATCTCCCAAAGTTATGAAACAAGGGGAGTCTGGTGTTCTTGAGAAAAGTCCCTTCGCTGATTGACAAGGGGGTTTAGTGCATCCTAGAGAGAAGAGAAAAGAAATCAACGTTTAATAAATAATAAATAAAGAATTGCACACCAGTGCAAAGATAGTGTTTGCATATGAGTTAAAGGAGGCCTAAAAACTGAATATTGAGCTACTGATTAGGGCTGCATGATATTGGAAAAATATGTGACATGCTATATTGTTGTTGAGTGTTGAGATAGCTATATTTTGTTTTTTTCTTTTTTATGATTTCCACTAGGGATGGGAAGATTCATCGATATGTATCGATACGCGGTCATGCGCGTGCACGATGCGAGTGCATTGGTTGAGCAGCAGAGGACGAATGAAATTTTGGAAGCAAATCGAGATGCATCGGTTTTTGCGAGATGCATCGATTTTTCCGAGATACAGCTTATATTTTTAATATAGAATGTATTTTTTATTTATTAACAAGTGTTGTCAACCTGTTTTTGGCGCATAATTTAATCGACCTACATAAAGTATGCCTTAGCAACAGATTTGCGGATGTGTACACTCACACTACAACTTAGTGTATCAGGTGTGCGGATGAAGCTAGTGGAGCACTCTCAGAAAGCGCGAGAAGCAAAACAAACATTTTATTCCTTACTGAGTTTTAAATCTAAAGTATGGCAAGCAACATTATGGATTTAAGGATGGACGACATGACAGGACAGATGCAATTTGCAAAATGTGCCGCGCATCTGTAAAATACGCGGGCAGTATGACTAATCTGAAATCTCACTTGAAGCGGCGCCACGGTGTTGTTGTGAAAGCATCTTCCAGTGTTCCTGCATCCCCGGCTTTCGCACTGCTTCAACCAGCTCCAAAAGTGGTGAGAAAAGCATTGCAAGTTTTTTTTCCGTGCGCAACAGTTTTGTGCGCTCTACGCCAATAACGAATGCTATTGCATTGCTCATCTGCAAAGATATTCAGCCTAGTGTCACGGAGAACGAAGGTTTTAAACACCTCCTCCTGTTAATTTTTATTTAATTATAATAATAATAATAATATTAATAATAATAATGATAAAAATAATGGGTGGCACAGTGGGTAGTTTGACCACCTCACAGCAAGAAGATTGCTGGTTTGTTATATTTTTATTAGCCTGTTGTTTACAGTGATAGTGATGTTTCAAAGCAGCATAACACTGCTAGTTCACAACCTTAAGTTTTGAATAATCAGTGGCAAAATATCTTTGTAAAACTTGTTTTCATAGTAGAAAAGTTAAATCACAATTCTTGTTGTGCAATGGTAAACCTTTATGTTGAAAGAATGCAAATATATATATATATATATATATATATATATATATATTTTAATATATATTGCACTTATACATTCTGTTTATCTTGAAAATACTTAAATAATATGTGCTATATGTTCTAAAATGGCCCTCTACTGTAAACTGACACTCTGGCTCTGAGAGAAGAGACAGTTTGTAAAAAAAGTCTTGGTTTTGCTTGGTTTATAAATAATCAAACTCATTCAATGGCACAGCATCCTCTTTCACATCATCTCATAAAGTTGATCTGATAAGTTAGTGCTGAAATATCGCATCGTATCGTGATATGGGTGTGAATCGTATCGTGTTGCATCGCAATATGTCACAAATGTATCGCTAATATATCGGATCGTATTCTTTGTATCGAGATGCGTATCGGATCGGCATTATAGCTTAGATGCCCAACTCTTTCCACAGCTCCAAGTACACCATTTGAACCAATTTCCCGAATGTTCATTGCCAGTATTAGCCAGTTGTAATGATTTGTTTTGGGTCCATTTTGAATTTGAATTTCCACAACCAGCGCAGAGCCATGTGGATCGCAAGGGAGCCTGGATTGAATCCCCCCAGATCTAGCTATATTTTTTACGATATAATTAACTTTAAAAAGCCCTATTTCATCAGAAATTTATAAAATGATTTATTTAATGATTTTACTAAAATAAAGAGCCAAATGATTTCCTTCTGAGCTAATTAAATCTAAAAAAAAAAAAAAAAACATTTAGCGCAACCTTTGGCGCAAACTCTGATCCTTAATGGCATTAGTATTTTTTTTAACAGCACCTCTTGGAGAAGTGGGGATGAAGATAGTAGAGGCCCCATCTGATTGGACAAAGGAACAAAATAAATAAAGAATTACACACAAATGCAAAGATGGTGTTTGAGATAAAGGAGGCCTAAACACTGAATATAAAGTACTGATTAGGGCTGCATGATACTGGGAAAATATGCGACACACTATATTGTTGTTGAGTGTTGCGATAGCTATATTTCTTTTTGTTCTTATGATTTCCATGACTCTTAAGTATGCTGGTCGAACCACTTTTCCAATTGTTCATTGCCAGTATTAGCCAGTTGTAATGGTTTGTTTTGGGTGCATTTTGAATTTCCACAACCTGCGCAGAGCCACGGGGATCGCAGAGAGTCTGGATTGACTCTAGATCTCCCTAGATCCAGCTATATTTCTTACGATATAACTATCTTTAAAAAGCCCTATTTTTATCAGGAATTTATAAAAATCATTTATTTGTGTAATAATCTTACTAAACTAAAGAGCCAATAGATGTTCTTCTGAGCTACAGTAATTAAATAAAAAAAATACCATTTAGTCCTTAAAACATCATAATACATGACTGAAAAAAAAAAGAACGGAAATTCTGATTAATATTGGAATTAGCATTTATTTTCAGCTTTAAGTTCACCTAACATCACCTACTGGAGAGGTGGGGATGAAGGCCCCATCAAGTTGGTCAGATTTGGATAAACAATCTATGCAAGCAACACATACAATGTAACAAGCAACACATAAAAGGTGGGACAGTGGCTCCGGATGCTCCTGTTTCCCCCATAGTCCAAAGATAGCAGTATAAATTGGACAAACTAAATTGGCTATAGACTATGAGTATGTGAATGAAAGAGTGTATGAGTGGTTTCCAGTGCTGGGTTACATTTTACAGCCCTAGTATACTGAAAGCAAATAGGGAGCTGGGTTGCCAGAAATTCACTGTCAAAAACAGTGTTTTGGGATTGCATTAGTGCATTGCACTTCTTTTATTAAGTGATAAAATGTTAAATTGCTAAGCTATTTACCTAAAACTGGCTGCAACAAAGCATCTTGTTAGGAGTGCAGAGGGAATTCTGCTGGCACAGACAAATCATTATTGGATACATTGTAAATTAAAAGTTAAAGTGTATTCAGATTAGTGGAAAAAAAAAGGAAGAGGTTCATAGTGGTGGATATGCAGTGCTCAGATGGTGGAACATTTTCATGGATTTCTGGAGCTGTTGAGCCATTTGGTCGAATTGGCAAGAGGTAATGCAATATGACTTTTGATGATGGAATTGATTGCCTTGCTCTACAATGTATTTGGGCAATTTAGCTGCTCATTTAATGCTGGAATACTAGTACCTAACACGAAAGTGGCTCCAACAGTGACTGAATGATTGGCCACTGTGACCAATATCCAAAACATGAAGAGAATGCATTTCAAGTCAATTCATTCATTTTCTTTCAGCTTAGTTTCTGATTTATGGAGTGGAATGAATGTTCTTCCAGCCACAACCTAGTACTGGGAAACACACATTCTCACTTTCACACACACACTCATACATTCATTCATTCGTTTTCTTTTTGGCTTAGTCCCAGGGGGTCGCCACTGCGGAATGAACCGCCAACTTATCCAGCATATGTTTTACACAGCGGATGCGTTTCCAGCTGCAACCCAACACCGGGAAACCCCCATGCACCACATTCACACCATTCACACACATACACTACAGCCAATTTAGTTTATTCAATTCACCTATACCTAAACCACGGTTTTGGACTGTGGGGTAAAACCGGAGCACCCGGAGGAAACCCATGCCAACATGGGGAGAACACAGAACTCCACACAGAACTGCCAACTGGTCCAGCCGGAACTCAAACTAGCAACCTTCTTGCTTTAAGGCGACAAAGTTAACCACTAAGCCACCATGCCGCTCCTCAAGTCACTAATTTCCACTAAACAAGATACATTTTTAACCCTGCTACAATATGAAAACGACACAAAAAGGCTCAAAATCAAACAGTTCATGCATTGATTCTTTTTTTTTCTCCTTAGTCCCTTTATTAATCCAGCGGATGCCCTTCCAGCCCAACACTAGGAAACACCCATACACTCATACATTCACACACATACACTACGGCCAATTTAGTTGATTGAATTCACCTATACTGCATGTCTTTGGACTGTGTGAGAAACCGGAGGAAACCCATGCCAAAATGGGGAAAACATGCAAACTCCACACAGAAATGCCAACTGACCCAGCCTCGAATCAGCAACCTTCTTGCTGTGAGGCGATCATGCTACCCACTGCGCCACCATGTCACCCAATCAAACAGTTTTCGCACATGACCAGTAATAATCAGCTTAAACTAGATCAAGACAAGTAAGAACCAGCTTAAACCAGCTCATGACTAACAAAAAACAACTTGAGTCAGCTTATAACTTGTAAGAACCAGCTTAAATCATCTCACAATGACCAACAATAGCCTTTTTAAACCAGCTCAGTAAGAAATTAGACCAGTAAGAACCAACTTAAACCAGCCAATAACAAACAATAACCAGCTCAAGACCAGTAAGAACCATCTTAAACCAGCTCATGATCAACACGAATCAGTTTAAACCAGCTCATAGCCAGTAAGAACTAGCTTAAACCAGCTTAAACCAGCTCAGGACCAGATTAAACCAGCTCATGACCAACAAGAACCAGCTCAAGATGAGTAACAACCAGCCTAAATCATTTCAGTGCAAGAAAGAACCAGCTTAAACCAGCAAGAGCTAGGTTACACCAGCACATGACCAGTAAAAATAATCTTAAATTAGCTCAGGACAAATAAGAGCCAGCTCATGACAATGGAAATGTTAATTAATCCCATGCTAAAATCTCATCATTTATAAATGTTTAACGAACTCTTTAAAAATGAGCACTGACAAAGATACATTTTCGAGGCAATTAATATTTCAGAGC